AGAAGAAGAAGAAGAAGAAGAAGAAGAAGAAGACTCGATCGCTGGGACATTACCTCGAGTCGCCTGAAGTTCCGAGATCCGTCGCGGATTCGTCATCAGGGACATAGTCAGATAGCAGTAGCAGGTATTGGTACTGTATGCACAGGAGTTTGGAGTATTTATACGATACAGCCATTACGAAAGACATACAACAACAATTAACTACAAACCCCTGTGCATGACGAATCCGCGATGGATCTCGAAACGTCAGGCGAATAAAAGTAGTGTCCTAGCGATCGAGTCGTCTTCTTCTCAATGACTGGTTGCTTTGTTTATTCTACTCTCGTTTGATTTTTGTATTTATCTTGACTTCCTGAACATCAATTTTTGTTACGGGGAAACTCACATGCCTCCTAAAACGTTAATGTGGAGTATATATTCACAAATGAATATTACGCGTATAATTCATTTTCAGTTAGCGCTGCATATGGTTGCTTAAAAGGCCTCAACGTCTGTTTCGTCATTTGCCGCAATTCATTTATTTAAAAGGGCTAATTGTTTAAGTGTTGCCAACTTTTTTTCTTTTTCATTCAACTGGAATATTCCGTTAGCATACCAGGTTCACATTCTGAACATATTTCTTTGGTTAGTGGGGTATGGCAGATTTGTTTAATTCTGTTAACACAAGTTTGAAAAATTTGCGGCCTCAGTGGGAATCGATCTCACAAAGCAGGGAACGTTTTTGCGCAGCCAAAGCTGTACCACTTGGATAGATTCTGCTGGCCCAACTTACTGCACGTATGGAATCCACCATTACGGAACAGCAAACTGATTGCCCAGACAGGTTTTCTAAGCAACCATCTAGAATCCACCGGAGTGACTACTAGGCTCATTTAATTTTTGGGGGGAGAGGTATGGCAAATGCGGTTAATTTTTCTTCTTTTGTGCATCAAACGTTTCCCAATACTCCCTTGTATTTTACCATACCAACAGATAACTTGTCGTAAAGTCAAAAACGGTAGAATTCAAGCAGTTTCTCTCTCTCCCTATATCTCGCATATTCAACTTGAGTAAAGAAAATAAGACAAAATAGACGGCGGTGCAAAGAATATGTTATGGCTTCAACTTACTGAACGTCCTTGTTATCTGGTGTTTCATCTACCTTTATGAGCTTAACGCCTTTAAAGGACGCACGACTGTCCAATTCCACCACCTCAGAAACAAAGGAGACAATGTGGTCATGCGGTGAATTTCGGTCTTTGTCCCAGGCCTCTACTCGTAGCCGGATCATAGGCTAAATTGAGGAGGAATAAGCAGAGTATGTGCAATGAAGGAAAAAAGCCATTTGTAAGTTCTGGAAAGCAGACTATATTAAATTGTTTTAGGTATTTTATTTTATGCTTATTAAAATATTATTGCAAAAGTAAGATGAGGAGAAAATAGATGTTAGTGATTATTTTAACCGACGTAGGCGTCATACGAAGCGGTACCGTAGACTTTTCAGTTTAATCGATACACCGATGTGGAAGAATTATGGGCCATCCCTTTCTACTCGCATTCCACAGGATCTGGCAGTTGAGCCTATTCCAATACTTCTGCGAGAGAAATACTATTAAAGGGAGCATCGCCTCGGGCATGCCCATATCCTTTAGCTCCTAAAGCTCTATCTCAACTGAACTATCAACGTGTAGGTGAAGGGCACGCCCAAGAATTCGCCCATTTTCGGACGCATAGCAGAGGCCGCTCTGCAACGGTTGGAGTCGCTAGTTTTCCGGCAACATAGACCAAATTTCTGGGCTTGGTATGTGGACGACACCTTCGTCGTTATTGAGCGGGGTCAGGTGCTGACATTCAAGGAACGTCTAAACGCCGTCTTTCCGGATATTCAATTTACCATGGAGGAAGAACAAAACAAGCAGCTGACCTTTCTGGATGTCCACGTTTGCCGAAAGGACGA